GGAGAGGGAAGGAGTAAGCAAGCAGCTATGTGGTACTTAGTTGCTGGTTAGGGTTAAACCATGACAGTCCTTTTTGGTGCCCAGTGTAGTCCTCTGACTAATCTTTTTCGTGTGACAGCTGTTACAGTACCCCTTTGTGTGGCACGAGAGCCTGGAATCTGTATTTGCTTGCAGTGGTGTTAAGCTTCTCGCGGAGCTGGCTGTGACAGGGAAGATGGTATGTCACAGCTGGTGGGTGATCCTCTGCGTGGTGCGGTCATACCTGTTGCACATGCAGAGGAGTCCTTGAGGACTTTTTTCCCTGAGGAAAAAAGTAGTGCTGGAAACTACTGCTACCAAGACATGCCTGCAGAGCACTGCCGATTGCCTCTTCTACGGCTTCTCTTTTGTGCTGGCTACGTTCTTGTGGGATGTGGGTGATTTCTGGAAGGAAGATGGTAAGGGGTGGATGGATTATTGCCAGAATAATTTATTTGACCAGCAGCCTGCACTGGAAAAGAAGGTAGAATTGCTGACAGGCTTTTTGTGGCGCAGAGGCTGCAGATGAGGCAGCCTTGTCTTACAGATCGTGTTTCCAGTTTTGCACAGCCTCTACAATGGCCTATTCAGAAAAATAAAGGGTATTTTCTGAATTGCAGTTAGCCAGTACATGGTGAGTAATGTTTGTTAAAATCCTGGTGGAGACTGGGTGCTTTAGAATCTCTGCATGTGTTGGGATGTCATACTAATTCCTAATTTCACTCACCTATTCCATGTTGTGCCAGTATTTATAAGAACTTCAAAGTACTTTTTTCCTTCACAAATATTTGTGTCATCTTCTATAGGATGGCTAATTTCAAGTAAAAGATTGGTTTTTTTCTGTAATGAACACTCATTCCAATTGGATCAAGTTTTCCCCAGCTTAACAATCAATTTTACATCTAAACAAAAAGCAAAATTTTCAGAAATGTTTGATCGGAAAACCAGTTGTGCTGCATAGAAGCAGTAGTTGCATGTTCCTAGAAAACTATTCCAGAATTTTTAAGACTGTATTTATATTTTGATTTTATAAAATGCAGTCAAGACTTTTCTAGCCCTTATATAGTTTATATAATTTTTATTTGTTGTGCAAATTTTCAAAAACCCTCTTGTTTTGTTAAATATTTAATGAGAAACTTTGGGTTATGTAAACTTGATTATGGAAGCAAACTAAGTGGCTGTTGACAGCAGATGGCAGTCTTGGGTAAAGATTTTGAGTGTAAACCTGCCTTTTTTTGAAAAAGGTGGGATATGGTCTTTGGTTGTCTTAAGAATAACATTGGGTAAAACTTTGAACACTGGAAATGCAGATAAAGAAATCTTGAAACATTGTTTGTACTCTGTTTCAGAAAGAGAGGATTTACTTTTATAAAGGAGAAGTATCATTAGTGTGCTTTTTTCTTTCTGGAGGTTTTAAGTGAAGTATAAAGGTGAATAATAAATGCATTAACTTAATTAATGTTTAATTCTTTTTTTTTAGGGTAGGTGGTGTCACAGGTCAAATTTAGTTTAAAATTTTCCAGATAGAAAGATGTTTAATTCTCATCTTGGAAAATGTAGACTTACTTTGTAATAAGATTGTTTAATTGCATTTTTATTCCTTTATAAACAAAACAGATCATTGTCCTATAGGAATAATGGGCTGTTTCTGCACAGTTTCGGATAGGAAAGAAGGTTTGCTTATGTCTGTGTGCTCATTCATTGTTTTAAGAAGTTTTTCTTGCTAACTTACAGCTTATAGAAGATATGAGACATGAAACAGGTCCCAATACAGATGAAGTACTCATTCTTCGAATGTATCATCAGTATTTTAAATAAACTCTTCCTCTGACTTGTTTGCCTGTGAACAGGTCACATACTGTCTGTAATTCCCTCATAATATTTGTCATTTTCTGGTGAGTAATTTTAGCTGTGTAGCTGAAACAAATACTCAAAAACCTTAGCTGAGAGGTAAGAACACTTGATCGTAAAATCTGCTAGTGCAATTGTAGGATGTCTGAAGAGTGCCAAAGTGGTATCAGCTTCTTTTCTAAGTCCCTGAGATGTTTTCAACATTTCAGCTGTCATGGTGGAGAAACCAGACTGGGGCTTTTCTGGGTGAGCCACGAAGAACTTGCTGCTAACTTGCCTCAAGAGTACACTTACAAACTCTGTAAAATTCTCTATGGTATGCACATTAAAAAGGATAGTTTACAGCCTTACTGATGCTTACAAGTTTATCCCAATATAAAGTATTTTGCCAGTTTCTACTGGTAAAGAAAGATGCAGGCAGCAGCTCTGAGGGCTGCAATTCTTTCCAGGTGAAGTCACTCTAAACACTTCAGTGAGCTTTCAAAATATCAGTGGTCTCACCATTTCCAACTTGCGGAAGGATCCCACTGTTCCCATTGTCCATGGGAAGGTTTGAAGCGGGTAGAGGAGAAGAAAGATGTCAGTTTTGGTGTATAAGTTACTGTTGAGGGGGAGGAAAGAAAGATCTGACTACGTTTGCATAGGAGTTCTGGAAAACACAATTTCCATGTAATTTCCAGGCCTTCAAGAGAGTAAAGTGGGATCAGCCATAGTTAAGTCTGGGTTTCTGGGTAATGGCATTGTCAGCATTTCTATATACAGTGTGAGGATTCCAGGTGACAAAAAATAAATGCTCTCTTTGGTGTGTTTGTCTTCTACAGGAGTCTGTTGTGTAGCCACCTGGGTTTTTAATGTGGTAGAACAATTCTCTGTGAATTTGACTGTGAGGTTTTGTGGTTGTGTTTTTTTCCTTTCAATATTTCAAGCTGATCCTGTAGCTGTTCGGATGTAGTACACCATCATACTGTACATTCAACAGGAGCTTTTCTTTGTTTCATAGAGGGGGATGTGGCAAAATGATTTAAGGACAGACTTAGCAGGAAGTCTTTTCATTTTAGTTTTTAAATGTATCCTTAGCTCTGGGGTGAAATCGTGGTCAAGGTGTTTCCATATTAAAGTGCTGCATTAAACAGCTGTAGAGGAAGAATCATTGCAACTTAGCTTGGCATTGAGCAGTATTAGTAGTTGTAAATGTGAAAGACCCTTTTATGTTCAGACCATGATCTGCAATTCATGGTGGTTTAAACCATTTCTTTTCAGTGATGATGTAAGAACTACTTGTTTGTTGCAACATAAGGTGTTTAATTCTTTAGGGAAAGGGGCTGATCTGAGCAAGCCACCATGTCGAAAAGCAAAGGACATACGGAAAGAAAGAAAACTGCAGAAACTCCTTCAGAACCAGATGTGCACATTTGAAGGCTCTCAACTGCAAGCAGGAGATCAAGTTTTCCTCTTGCAAAACTCTAAATCTAAAACAAACCAACCTAAAACCATAGAAGACTTCGTTTTTGTCTCTTTACCTGATGATGCACGGCACAAATTAGAGGTAATGTGTTGTTCACTGTTCTTGAAGGCAAATTAAGGAAAAGTCTGGTTAAGGAGTTTTTGAAATGCTTAGGTGTTTAGTATCAGTGACTTTATGGAATGGTTATAGTTCAGATCTTGAAATACGTGTGGTACTGCATTTTTTAATCTCTTTGTCTCTGGTGTAGCTGGGGTCTGTGTAACCACAAGAGGGTACTCTTGCACTTGCAGTCAGTCATAGCAGAGACCAGTACAGTTACCAAAATAACTTGCAAATTGATTTCGTACAGTGTGACTTCAAAATGAAAGACTTTGAATTAACTGAGTGTTGAATGTTGAGAGAGATTCAATATTTAGTTCTGTAGTATATAAATACTTAAACTATCTATGCTAATGAATCTTGACGAGAATTTGTAAAATTAAACAGATAAGAAGACAGCTGCTCTTTATAAACGTCATTGGTATGTGTTGATGTCTTTGGAACCTGTAAAAGTGATAGTAGAAAATCTTTCTTAATACACTGTTGCCATTAAATCTATTAGTAATACAGAGTCAGTAATCTGGAAGACTTTTTGACTTTCTATGATTTGTTAATCATAAACCCATTTTCTTTTTATTTTTTTCTGGAAGCTGGAAAACTATATGAACATAAGTAATTTCCTGTAGTTACTGATTATCAATAGTGGTATTGGCAGTTAAAAGATTCACTGAATAACTGACAAGAAGCCATGACATTGATCCATGTCACTAACTCCTCCAGATTTTCTGATGAGTTGCATAACAGAAGTATGATGGCTTTGTCTGAACATCCTCGTTTAGAAGGCGCAGGGAGAATTAAAAGGAGGATGGTTCCAGCAGTGTTTTTGCAGATTGTTATTTGCTCTTTGCTATGGCTGTCAAGTGCGGTGTTTTGTTTTGGGATTTTTTTCCTAACAGATCAGAACCGATGCTATTTGTGAAAATAGAACCATCTTGAAAATTGGGTGTTTTTTGAAATATGCTTGAAAAGAAATGCACTCTTGCTCATGTGATAGCATTCTTTTGGTTAGGGAGCAATCATTTTTACTAAGAACAATTTTTAGTTTATAGATTTAAAAAAAAATTATTTTATTTTTGTGTGTGTAACGGGAATGGTCGGGGAGACTGATAATTTCCTATTACAGTTAATCCATAATTGAATATGGAAACATTGTTTCATTATCCTCTTTCAATTTGAAAAATATCAAGAAATCCTCTTGGGATTAGTGCAATAAAAACATAGTCTTTACATAAAGATCACAGATATGAGTCTTCCAAATGCACAGGTCCTTCAAGTACTTTTCAGCATAGTGAAACTACAAGAAAAGATTTTTAAAAAGTATAGAAATTATCTTTAAAATATCAGTCTTCATACCATTTGTTGTATTATTTCCTGAAACTTATTTGTGTAGTTCTTTTATAGGCATTTTAGTTATCTTAATTTGCAGTTTGAAAACCTTGTATGTTATTCAGTGTAAATGTAAAAGCCTTCAACAGCCTAAACTGAGCTGAAGAATTGGAAGGCTATTGACTTATTTTAAGTAAACTGTTAGGGCCCTTGTGCAGGAAGTCAAAACTTCTCTTTGTTGTGATGTTTGTATATGTATAAATACATAGTTATTGCATGATATCGTAATAATGAATGTGTTTAACTTCTTCTGAAGGTGAGGGTGGTGAGATCATCTCCACCAAGTACACAGTTCAAAGCCACATTTCAGGAGTCTTACCAGGTCTATAAACGTTACCAGATGGTTATTCACAAGGACCCACCTGATAAACCAACTATAAATCAGGTCAGAAGGCCAAATGAATTTTATGCAAAGCTCACCTTCCCCCCCTTCATATGTTTTCTTTCTAGGAGAAACAAACGTGGATTTGATATCCATTATATATTCAGGAGTGTGTAAAATACTATATCAAATAAAATCAACGTCCTGAAAGTGCAAACTCTTTTGATATCTCTTTGTGAGTGCCACAAATATTTGGTCTTAATTGCAGACAGAGAAGTTAAAAAAATTACATGGGGATGCTAGTGGGTAAGAGATGGAGAGGATGAGGCTTTTGGAGATAGATGTTGTGGGCCTTATAAATACAAATCTCCTAAGAACTAAAACCAGCTGGACGCTTAGCCTAGTCTCATTGGCTTTGGTTTGAATGCTTCCATAAGGAGGAACTAGCATGATCAGGGCCAATGTGTGAGTAAAAATTTATCACACATACAAATTGTTGATTTAATGTTCACAGAAGTTGTATAAATCTCTTCACTTTCTATTTAAGCCCTTCAAAAAGTTATCTGTGCACTCCATCTAAATGACCCATTGTTACTGCTTCTTGTAATGACCAGGCGGAGTGTAATAGTTTGTCAGACATACTACCTCTCTCATACTATAAAGAAAAAAAAATTCAGGAGTTTGGAGAAATAGTGTATGTAGCAAGAATATGTAATTGCTAAACCAGGGCAGTGAGTGATGTGCCACTAAAAGAATACATTTTGAAAGTCCTTGAGCCTGTATAATGAAAATAAAATTTGTGGTTGATTTGTTAGATACTTGGTCAAAAAAATAGGTTGAATAAACTGCTGCTTTGGAGTGTTCTAGAGTTACACAATTTTTTTTCTTTAATGAAAGTATCAACAGTCAGTTTGAGCTTAGTGTTAGTTATCAGACTTTCTCCTGTAGGAGTTCTTCTTATTACTATATTTAAAGTAGAAAACTGACTTCAGAGGCTTTGAAGTGGATAGGAGGAGATCTTTTCACTAGCCTTACCTTCAGAAGCATATTATCTGATTATATGCACTTAAAATAGTATGCTTGTATTTTCGTTGCTCTGAAGGTGAGGTTAGTACCTGTCTCCTTTGAGGACCCCCAGTTCAAATCATCCTTCAACCAATCAGCCAGTTTATTTGCCAAGTATCAGATGGCTATACACAAGGATACACCTTCTGACTGTGGCGAAAATGAGGTACAGTTCCCTGCATGCACCTTTATGAAAACATTTTTTTTTAATGCACAGTTAAATGATGGGAAATGGTGTCTCTTAGAGTGATTCTAAACATTAAAATGTTGGCGTTTCCATTTGGGAGGGGAAAGCATTGTGGTTTTTAGCAAGCTTTTGCGGACTTCAGCCTGGGGAAACTGAGCTGAATGGGGGGGATTATGCACCATCCTAACTAATAAACTAATGTCAGTGATGTGTTCAGTAGAGCTCCTGTTTGTACATGATTTTCAGAGAGGTCTGGGACTGAGATTTCTACTGGAAATGGGATAATGGTATGGAAGTGCTTTTTTGATGGCAAAAGCATCTTCTGCTTTAAAGCTGTTTGGTACCTTTTCCACATTTCTCCTTAATTTTTTGTGGTCTTGCTTAATTTTAACAGGTGAAGGTTTAAAAAAATCTCAGTTTTATTCACATTTCATTGCTAAGCATTACTCTCAACTAGAAGTCACCTTTGCAGTAGAAATAGTGCAAAAATATTCCCACTAGCTGATTGTTTGAGATTCAGTGAGAGTACATTACACATGAATAAAATGCTTTTAAAATGGTGGTTACAGGATGCTAATCCTAATCTAATAAGTGGAAGGAAAAAAAAAAGTACTTGTGGGTTTCTAAACAAGCAGCAGTTCTCCATTTCTCTGGCAGGTGGCTGTGATGGCACAACATTTTCATTAGCAGAATTAATAGAACTTTTATGTGAAACTTGTCATTTCTATCTACTGCAAATGTACGACTTCAGTATTGATCAACTATCTAGTCAGACTTTGCTGTTCTTGAGAGCAGTGCTTGCAGAAGTGATACCTAGCAAGCTGTGGCTGCTTTCCAGATAGAATAATAAAACCACATAATCATTTTTGGCTTTAGTTCAAAAGAGTGCAAGGAGAGCTTTTTTGTGAGTTCTCTGTAATGCTACTGTGGAAAGCCATAAAATGTATTCCACTTTGTTTTGTAAAATAATAGGACTCATAACAGTAAGTAGTACTCTTTACCCTTTTTATAATTACTGACAGAAATTGGGTTAATTATAATAATGTAAAAATTGGAAACATGCCAAGAAAGATTGAGCTATTTACGTGATTTGTACCAGGCATTACCTGGTCTGATTAGGGACTTGATTTGTTTGCTACGAAGAGTGTATTTCAGCCCTAATGCTTAGATCTAGCTTATATGCTGCCATACTTTTGCTCTGAAAATCTTGTTGCTGCAGAGTTTGATAGGAACTTCACGTGTACTTACTTATTCTTTGTTTAGAATTATGGATTTATTTTTTTTTAATGTAGTCGTTACATCATGAAGAATCAAGGGCAAAATCACGATGGCTGCTTGCAGTTCAGTTCTGAATAGTGGTTAGCTCTCAGTTCATCCTATCTCTGTTTGGTCAGAGTGCATGGTTTGGTGTAGACTTGGCTTTAATCACCCACGGAACTTTTTTAGTCTAGGGGAGGAAAGTTTATAAAGATGCATTAAGGACAGTGCAGGTTTCCACCGCCTTACAGTGTGAAGTCTATTGTGGGAATTGCTGTTGAATAGGAAGGAGAAGGATTTCTGTTTACTGCTAATAGTTTAATCTGTTTTTCTCGTCCTCTTTTTCCTTGTTACTTGCCATAGGTATTTCCCTACTTTGCCTTTATCTTCTCTCTCTGGCGTCATGTTTTTGCAGGCTTAGTGTGATATTCCAGGGGAGACATAAGACCACCTCTGAAGTGTCTTTTAAATGTAAAAACTCGGTCTGATGCTCATGGGTTTTAATTGAGGTCCTTCTTCAGCAACAGTAGATTATGTTGTGTGTTCATGTGGCTATCTGGCTAAGACAGGCTATCTGTTCACAGTTATTAGGTGCTAAAGCTCTGTCACTTCAATCAAAAGCATTTTGTATTCGATCCCTGCAGGACGTAAACTGAGGAATACTTTACACAAAATGTATTTTGATGTAGTTTAGAAGCATTTTTTTTTTTTTTTAAATACTGAATCTGTGTGGGAGGAGAATTGTTCGAGTCTCTTTTAAGAACAGGAGATACCAAGTAGGGTAAAACTGATCCCAGTTATTGAGAGGAAGGGTGGAAAATGCTATTTGAAAGATTTCAAACTTTTTCTTCTTCCTCTTTTTCAGACTTTTTTTAATACAGAATACAGACATTATGGAGCCAAGTAAAGGTAGAATGAAATTCTGTCCTATACACAGGGCATTTTATCAGGATAGTAATAAGTCTGCTTTGGGCTTTAAACTGGCAAACATCCAGGAATTTTTTTGCATCTAAAAATTAAATTTAGCTTTTAATCTGTGCAAACTAATCTCTGTGTGGTGGATGAACCTCCTTTTCAGGGAGACTCCTGCACACTTCTGTGTTTGGAAAGTTTCTAGTTTAGGAAAAGTATTTCATTTTATATTTGGCTGAACATTTCATATTGAGAAACCTGCCTATATTTAAACTTGGAATCCAACAAAAATTGTTATGGGATGTATTAACAACCTCTTTTTGGAATATATGCTTAGATTGTTGGCGTTACAACATACTGTCTCCCTATGTTAGCTGCTAGACTAGTTTAATATTAACCTTATTACATTAAAAGGCAATTTTAGGAATAGATTTAGAATTTTGGTGATTATTTGAAGGTAACGCTGATGTGGAAAGTTATAAACCGATTCATAATATTAATAAAATGTAGGTGAACCATGAAGCCAATTTATTGCTCAAAGAGTGTGAAAGAAGGCCCTCTTTTTGCACCTATGTAGTGTATATACATCTTTTCATCAAGTTTTTTATGTGAGAAGGGGGAATAGATGATTTCCAGGAGAGGGAATCCATGGAATACTTGACACCAAAGATTACTTTGAACTTCTGGGCACTCTGGTTGGTGCCAGTTTGAGACCAATGATAACTGGTGTTTCAGTGCCCTTCAAGACAGTGGGTCTTTTTGGATTTTGCCATTTCCTCCTTACTTTCTCCTGTCCTCCTTCTGCATCACTGGTGGAGACTGCAGTAGCAGTAGTAATAGTGTGTGTTCATTAAAAAAGAATTTGGTTTGAGATTTTGCTGAGGAGAGTCCTGCAATGCATTTTGGAGATGCAATACTAATTCCTGATTGAGGCAATGACTTCTGTTTGTTCTAATAAAAAGCAAGGTAGAAATTTCATAGTGGGATAAACTTTTTCCAAGACCCAGAGTTGGTGTTAAACCTGAGGTGATGAAACTTGCCTTTTCTATGGAAGCGTCATCACAGTCTTCAGTGCCGCTCTCATTGACGAGTAGAGGATTTGATAAGGTAGAAATATATTTACTATCTGCCAAATAAGTTAATACTCTAGGAACCGTTTTGAGTATCTCCTTACTCCTGGAATTAAAACCCATTTAGCTTGCAAGTGAAAATTTTTCAAATCGGTTTTTATCTTGACATAAAAGCTACAACTATTTTCTGCATAGGCTTTTAAACTATTGATTATCCCCTTTTCTCTTAGTTTGTCTGATATAAATTGAACTTATCTTGGAAATCTTCTCAACCCTCTCAGGAACCTTTGGTCAGTTCCTACAGGATTTCAGCTTCAAAACTGACCCGGTTGTGTCTCTGCTTCAGAGTGCCGTCAAGTGCTGATGTTATGCACAGTCGTTGACATCTAAGAATATTTATGTCAGTGTGTTTTTATTGAATTGAATTGGTGTCCTGAGGAAAAACGTAGCAAACAATTTTCTAATTAAATGTTGCTTCATAATACTTGCTGTTAAATAGTGCTGTGAAAAAACTGATTTTTTGAGTTTTTCTCTGTGGGAATGCACCACCTTATTAAGCTGCTATGTAAATGCGTAGTCATCCAGTGGTTTAGTAATATATGTACTCTTATCTTAAAGAGTTGTTGGAAAAAATCAGAAGAATTAGGGGGAACCTCAACAGATTATTAAGTGGTAAAGTATAAGTAGCTTCTGAATGAGGTAGGGTACAAACATGGAAAATAGGTGTATCACTGCCTATTGGAGAAGTTTATCCAAGGGTGCTCTTGAATTAGCCAAGTCTCTGAACTGTTCATTTTTGGAAGCTGTGAAAATGTCCAAGGGAAGAATCTGTTTTAGAGTTTGTCACATTCTATGCATTTCTTCTGGCCCTTTATGGAACTACTGTATGTGGACCTTTATCTCAAGTCCAAGACGGTAGTTATCATGTAGTGTTCCCAATATAATAGAGCTATTATTCACTAGGGTTTTTTTGTTTTGTTTTGTTTTTTCCTGAAGTAGTGGAAGACTGTAATCATGTTTATTATGAGGATCTATGTCTATAACATACAAAAAGCCACAAATGTAATCAGTTGCAAGGATTTGTTTAATGTGTCTACAAGTTACTTGTTTGTGGGTTTTTTTCTGCTTGGGTGGTGGTTGTATTTTTTTGTGAAATGAGTCAAGCTATAATGAAAAAAATTGAAATAATGAAAGCTTGTAAAAACTGAAGAAGGGAGGATTCTATAATGAGCAGAGCAGAGATAGTAGGCTGAGCATCCTTTCATTGAACAGATGTTGTTTCCCTGTATTATCGGTGAAAGATCAGTTGGACCACAGATTATAGAGCTGAGCTACAGATCAAGAGTACCATAATTATGCAGACAAATTGTACAAATGGAAGTTTATCCACCTTTTTTTTTCTTCATTTGTTGTAAGAAATATAATAAATCATATTACAGCTTTGTCTTAATTCGTACACAGAGAAATGAATAAATATGGGTTTGGAACCTGTAAATTTTTTTTAATTGAGTAACTCTTAATAGCATTGGTTATATTTCTGGGAGAAAATGTGTAGATTAATGTATAGAAGGATGACCTGACAATAAGAAGAGTGAACTTTTTATGTATCTTATATAATTCCAAGAGGCAGAAATAGTTGATAATTGAATCAAGTGCTGGTGCTAGGCAGTGCTAGGGGAGGTAACTTTCTCTACAGATGTACTGCTGTCTGTTTTTTGGCTTTTACCTCAAGAAACAGAC